TTAATGTCGATGTCCTCTTAGCGAAGATGTGGAAAGTGTCCAACCTCGCCAGCGGTTGAACGCAAGGAATAGCAACTTGTACCTCAGGCTCTCCCACTGACCAGAGTGCCTCTTTATCTAACTCACGTCGATTCTACCGGGAGTGACGATGCGATGTGCCAGGCAAATCTAGGAGCGACGGTGCAGATCCACAGCCGAGGCACCCTCAAGCGTCTACTCCTGAACAAAGGTAGATTCCTATGGCGCTCGTGATGCTTCGCTTATTTGACCCGACAACAGCCTCCCACCTGCCACGACGTAATCCAGCGTTGGAAGTTATTCATGTATCCTCGAGCTCAATGGCGTCGCAGCATCGATAGAGAGTCCTGCTTCATTTATTGTCCTGAGTTTCTGGATCTTGGCTTTGGGCGAGTAATTTTCTCAAAATTCCTTGGTGTGTTCAGATAGTGACTGATACAAGGCGGATCGCGCCGAGGAGGAGACTGTGTAGGTTCATCGGGTGGTTGAGTGATTGCGTGACCTGAGGGCTATGGTCGTGGTGAAGGTAGATAAGATGAGACGGGAAATCTAAGATTAGTCAGAAGGTGGGCTGAAAAGACCTCAGGGACCAATCTTTGGACCATCGCGTAGACGAAGCGACCAATAATGGACAGAATTTCGAAGATCTGGTTGAAGATTGCCAGGTCCATCAAATAGATAATGGGACTGCATGGTCGCAAACCCTGCGCCACTTCGGATGAGCTTTTCTAGGGTGATACCCAAGTAGGTTGCCAGTCGTGTTTATTGAGAAATGACCGAGGGTACATGTGAACATTCCCTTCGCCTGTCCCGTAGAATACGGCCTCAAATTGAAAACGCCTTTGGAATGATTAGTACTAGATAGGTTTGGGCACGGCATGGGCGATCAAACGATTTATTAATTGCCTCCAGAGCTTTCAACCTGGCCTGGGCCACTAAAGTCTCTGGGCGGTACAGATAGCAGAAGTACTCAGAGGCTCGAGCCCGTACATATCCAAGCACGAAACTTCCAGACAGTATTCTCTTAACCACAAAGCTTCCTACCTATTTCATCAAACGTTGAACTGCAAACACAGCCATATAATGTAAATAAACCCTCCTCCTCCGTCCGGAATGTCCCAGTAACATATTGTCTCATTCGTATTGACGTCAGCGTAACCCCTGAGATCCCGCGAGTCTGTCGTAATGCCAACGGCATAAAGGTCTGTCCGACCGGTATTGGTGACCATTCCATCTTCTATCTTTTCCATGTCCTTTTTCAGCCTTTCGACAAAGGCTTGATTTGTCTCCGCGGCGGTGCGGCATTTGAGCTCGATGCCAATGTGGGATCCTGTGATCCATCGGGACGCTTAATATACACATCGACGATGAATTTTGGGTTTTGTAGAACTTTCTGCTCGCGTTGCAGTGTATACCCGAGGGGAAGATTGGGAGGCGGGCCGTTCAAGGAGAGCACGACCTGCAGCCAGGATTCCCAGCCACCGCGAAGAGCCTTGGCTTGAAGTAGTGTTTGTATGTTCGCTCCGTTGTTCGCCACGAGCCAGTTAGTTATCCAAGTGATTCCATGAAGCGGTGGTTGTCCGGCATTTGGATTTTTCCGTTCAGCTGACATTTGGGCTTTTCAAAGGGTTTTGGTAAGGATATGATATAGCGTGGCTGTGATTGCCTGAATGCGTCCGAGGCCTCAACGTAGAAGTTTCAATGCAAGGTGAAGTACCATGAGATCTGAGTGGAAGATTGTTCAGCCTTTATAACTTGTTGCCAGTCGCATACTTTCCTCGCGAACCCCTCTTCTACATGCTTCCTATTTATCTTCTCTTCTCCTCCACCCCCCTTCTCTTGTGACACTATTGAAGTCACGGTCACTATCGAGGAAATGGCATCCCATAACTCTGTGCCTGAACGCGCTCTAGATGCCACACCCACATCTGAGACGCCGCCTTATCACACACACACACACACACACACACACACACTCACACAGTCTGTGGATTTCGTTTTTTCTTTTCTCCTCCAATTCCATGAAGCTGAGAGCTGACTTTTGGCACCGGTCATTGGCATCTCCGCCATCGTACGATTGTCTCGCAAGGATCTACATGAGGGTCCGTTTCCAGAAGGCTCTCCAAATGTACATGGAATATCTGGAGACAACAAAAATGAATGAGCTATGTGATGAGATATTTGAGCATCTGGAAATAGAGCTTTATTATTGGACATCATCCAGTACTTGAGCGTTTTGACTTTGGCAGAAGCTGATGCTTCTGAACCTCTCTTCAGGCTCAATAATGTAGTGTCATTATAATCCCTCCGGCTTCAGCATCAAGCAAAAATTTGCCAGATTTGGCTTTTCAAAATCGAATGATGTTGTATCACCTTTTTTAAGAATGCCAAGAATTGAAAGCTCTGTAAATTGTGGCTGACTGAATGTGACACCTATGTCGTCCCTTGCTAGAGTAGAGGTGATCAGTGGATTGTGTTGACGTTCAACTTGTAGAATGAGTCAATGAGTCATGACTAACTAAACGATACCGGCCATCGAAGACGGGTCATAGATATGGCAGGAAGAATGCAAAGAGGTTTTGGACCAATTGCTGGTAGTCTCTTGCATACGTTTGGATCATAGAGCCTCGCCACCAAGTGGTTTCACGCGATGGCTTCTACGTCTCTTGTGACCACAAAGCAGTCGCGGTTTATGAATCGTCGCTTTTCCTGAGACATTAGAAGATTGGTATTCAGTGTCGATCATAGAACTTAATAACAGGCCAGATCACCATCGTAATACAAAAAGAATTCAACTTCAACGCCGGAAACGGCGTGACTTGCAATTTTGAAGCTGAAAAGTGCGACAGTGTACAAGCTATTGACATGTAATGAAATGTCTTCAAAGCTGATGGAGCTTTTCTCCGAGTTCTAATGATCAGCACGATGAGGAGTGGCCATCCAGTCTGGTGAGCGCCAAGCTGCCCTTAGCTGTGTGATGAGTGTAGCACAAATGTGCTCGTCACATTCTAAGACTTGGGGCTGAACCTTATTTGGTGACGGTCTGGCGGCAACCCTCCCACACAAGACAGCAAGTCACTCTGTGGCGTTTGTCCTGGTCCACGTTTTCACATAGAGCTGATTATGGGAGCTAAATGCAAAGGTATTGAGGACGTGTGAAACATTCTCAATTCGTCAAGTTCGTTGACAGCTATGATTGGGTAGCTTCAAATTCTCGTTAAAAGTCTGCTTGAAGTCTGGTCGGATGCCTTTACACGTGCATCAACGTAACATGGCTTACTGAATAAAACTGGTTTATCTTCATACGTGGGACATGTCAATCGCGTCTAAGTACGTTTCTTCCCTGGATTTTAACTCGATTAGAACCCTCTTGAAGACAGCATAATCAGAGAGAACTACAGAATATGTAACATGACTTTTCTAGCTGGCGATAGGATAGACTTGCTCCAAGTTCTTTCTCAAGTGCTGATCGATTCGAAACATGTTTTGAATTTATTGTACATCGTGTGCACTCAACCTGCGTGCATATTTTCTGACCGGCGCTCACTCCTGGCTCCATTCAGTCAGCCACCAATGGTTGTCGTGCGAGCGACGATTTGGCATCAGCACCTCACATTGAAGTCATCGAATTTATGTGATCGGAATCCTGAAGTGACAAGTGCTCTTGAAATGCCAGACCACTACACCGGCGCAAGCAAAGCTTGCCCCATGCGGCATATGGCCGCTCAGTGGAGAGTAATGACCTCGGAGCTGCTGAATTGTCGTAGTAGTAGACCACCTTTCAAAATGTATAAGAAGATCCTCTGAGCCCCTGATCTCCAACCAGCTCTAGATAAGTAGGCATCCAGCATCAGATACTTAACAACAACACCAGATCAATACATCACTGTTATCCATTTCAGCACTGAAACATGTGGAAAAACGTCAGGATGGTCAAAACAAAGTTCTGAAGATCAAGATTAATCCGGAAAAGGTTACGCAATTCAACAAACAAGGTTGGAAGCTCTGCTTTGCGTCTGAACTCAAGAGTAACCGCAAGGTCAATTTCAACGTTGTTGCGTCAACTCACGGTGAGCTATTCTACCTAATAGCATTTTGACATAACTCATTAACGAGTAAATCGCAGCCATTTCAACCAATGTCGCGATTCAATGGGTTCACCCTTAATCCATCGCCGCCAGCCAAGATAGTTTCAGCAACGGAGGTGGATAAGCCACGATTACGTCTTGGTTATGTCCTGATTGCTTACAAAGCAACAAAAGTCATCCTCAACGCATCTACGGAAGCCGTCGGGATCGATTTCGAACAGATTTACACTCTTGATTTCACCTGGGTTAACGGAACTATAAACGACGATCCGAGTGCACCCGAGGGAGGCTCCACTTTTCATCAACAATCAGATGCCTCTTCGGAGCGGGGACGTAGACACTGAACGGAGCACAATACAACTGGGACGAACTTATACGTGAGTGACTGATCGGTTTAGCAGTCTCAAATACCAGCTGTTTCAAGGCAAGGACAGGTAGAACGAGTATACTCCCCAGGACTTCAACCACACAATTATGACTAACCGCCTTCGCCAAGTTCTACGTAGAAAATATGCCTCAGGACTCTGTAAATGGGAACAAGAAGACAGGGCACCCACTATACCGAATGTCAGAGCAGGAGGCGAGGGTCGATGACTTGATTTCAAAAAAGACAATTGACAATTGGGCGATGTCTTCGAAATGGGCGGGCTCTGACATTTGAAGGCGAAGAGGCAACTATCAACGCCAGGCCAGAATACTGAGGTGAATGGTGGGTTGACACAGCTCCCTCCATGCCAGAAGCTGAGGCGATCTAGTAGACTAACGAGGCCTCCAGTCTTCCTCCAGTTGTTCCCGCACATATGATAGAATGCTCTTCCTCGCGAGTACGTCCGAGGATATTGACACAGCCTTCTACGATCGCGTCCACGTATCAGTCAAGTGCGGTCATTGATAATGTTGATGATTCCCAGCGGACACATATTTGGCTTGGTAATCTGGAACGCGCAATCAGCAGCCGAACGGGGGAGTCTTCGATTTCTAGACGGCAGGAAGAGGCATACTAACTCTTAGGGAGCGTCAAAACCAATGGTCAGGAAATTCGCAACATCATCTGGACTGCCGAGCAGCTAGCTCTGGATCTGTCACCAGACTTGGCAACAAGTCATATCGTGGGCGCCATGAGAAAGTTCAGGGGCATAGACATCTATGTCCAGTCCACTTACGAAAGGCTGGGCGCATTGGAAACCCTATCAGGTTGAGGTCGTGGGCCGGCATGTGATGACTATGTTGAACTCCAACATTCAATCGGTGGAATCCTCGATGGGTTGTAATGGAACACAAAACACCCAAATATCCCGGGTTCATATGGCGACTAGAATGACGATGATCGACCATGAAAGCAATAGTGAGCTGCGAGGTAACCTTGGCACTACCTCTTTGAGCTCGACGGCATATTGAGACACTGGTAGTGCTGACTATGTGCCCACTCATCTGCATCAGGCCCCTGCGATGTTCGATCTTCGCAGAAGCCAGCTAATGCTTTGGGCTATGTAGCGAGGCAGATAGGGTATTGATGCAGACTTAAGTACAAGCTGTCCTCGTTGCTTGTCTGGCATGACGAGGCGTATCAAATATACGTAATTCGGAGCTGGTTTCATCTTCCGTTGACTACCACGATTGAAAATGTCTTCCACCTTGGAGATCGCACTCGACAATCTCAAAAGAGCTGGCCTAGGCGACGCTGTTTACACTCCCGACCAAGACGCCTACCAAACTCGGAATGCCTCATACTGGGCGCAGAGTGCCCAACTGAAGCCTTGGGCAATCGTCCAGCCGAGGAACGCCGAGGAGGTTTCCAAGACTGTCCAGGCTCTTGTCGCGACACCAGAGTGCAACTTTGCGGTGCGAAGCGGGGGCCATACAGTCTGGCCGGGTGCCAGTAACATCCAGGACGGCATAACTATCGACCTTGGTCTGATGGCAAAGACAACGTACAATCACGAAACGGAACTTGCTTCGCTGCTTCCTGGAGGAAAGTGGACGGATGTTTACCATGAGGTTGAGAAACGTAAGAACAAACGGAACTCCACTCAACTTGATCTTTGCTAACTATAGCAAACACGCAGATGGGAGGATGGTTGCTGGTGGCCGCGAAAACGCGGTCGGCATTGGCGGTCTTACAACGGGTGGCGGCAAAACGTTCTACACCTGTCGAGTCGGATTCGCATGTGGTGAGTGGCATGGACCCTGCCCGAAACCGGAATGAGTGTTAACCTGAGCCAACAGACCAGATCGTCAACTACGAAGTCGTCCTTGCCGACGGTAGCATCGTGCAGGCGAACGATCAGGAGCACTCCGACCTCTTCAGAGTCCTCAAAGGCGGCGGCAACAACTTTGGGATCGTAACTCGCTTCGACATGGTGACGTTCCCCTCAAAGGATATATGGGACGTAGAGCTTGTACATGCCAAAGAGTCGGCCCTAGAAGTCGTGCACGCGCTGTCCGACTTTACTGGCAACCTCGAGGCTCACCCGGATTCTCATGTCCTGGCGATGTGGATGTACCTGCCAAAGGCCGATGACCACTTCATCGAGAACCTATTGATGAGCCTGGACGGCGAGCAGGAGGCCAAATCCTTGAGCAAGTTTCTGGCTATACCTGGGGAGGTCAAATCCAAGACGACCACGGTCGCGACCAAGATGGATACGTTCGCGTTGCCAAAAGCTAGAGAGTAAGTTTGCCCTCATTCTCTCTGCGACGGTTGATTAAATTGGCACGTCAGGCATACTTGGTTCACCACAACCTTCAAGAACGACCCGCGAATCAGTCAAAAGGCGGCTCACGTCTTCGAGAGTCTTGTGGAGAAAATGAAAAGCCAAGTCTCAGACCACGACTTCGCTTTCCAGATGGTTCTGCAGCCGCTTCCCGTATCGTTCGGCAAACACTCGGCGGTTCGTGGGGGCAACATGTTCGGACTTGAGCACATCAAGGATGACTGTGTGCTGTTGGTATGGACCGTGGAAGTGGCAACGTCGGAACTGCGGAAAAACGTCGCGTTCCCGGCCCTCAAGGGAGCCATTGACGAAATCGAGGCTTACGCCAAGTCAGTTAACGGCGACGTCAAGTTCCGCTACCTGAACTACTGCGACGCCTCACAAGACCCGCTGAGCAGTTACGGCGAGGAGAATGTCCGCAAGATGCGCGAGGCTGCAGAAAAGTACGATCCAGCGGGGGTTTTCCAAAGAAGAGTGCCCGGTGGCTTCAAGATCTCAAAGGCGAACGTGGCATGAGGCCCAGATGATGGCTACTGTAACTCTGAGACCTATCGTCGCGTCAATGCTGTCGGCCTGCATGCGATGAAGCATGCTTTTGCGTAACTGAGAACCATTCGTGCTCCGGTTGCTCCAGAGTGGTCATTCCTATCTGCCTCTCAGGACGGGAAGTTGCATGCGATGCGTTGATGCGTGTCGACGCCCTGCCGTCAGAGCCTGCTGATGGTGTTGTGAGTGTGTGAGACAGAGACGTATGAGAGGAGCGTGCTTGCCCCGCGTTGGCCCCGCATCGAAAGGGGATGCCGTACTTGATCACGTGATTGATGCACAGTACTTCGTTAATGGTCCAAGCAGTGTCCACGTCCAGCTGCATGCATGTCACCCTCCCGAGGCGCATTTCAAGGCGGATTCCTGCTTCGCTTCTCCATGAGCACAACCATCAGCAATGGAAACGCAAATGATTCAGGCTCATCGTAGCCTGCTGCGGATGCCTGGAACATGCCTGGAGCCTGCCTCGACAATGAGCTCATTGAGGCTGATATCTCCATCGCTCCACTGCAGATGGTGCCGCGATGTCCGAGACAAGACTCTTGCTGAGTGATCTCCGCCGGCCGACGCCTCGTTACCACCTCAAGCGGGTGAGATCTTGATGCTCGCCGTGGGGTCACACGATCCAGACGGACGGAACCGAGCAATCACATTGGCCTTGATATGGCACAGACACAACAACCAGCTTCACAGCAAGCCGTTGCAATTTGGCTGCAGCTAACCCTAGGTCTAGTGGTTTTCCTGAACCACAATGATGCTGGTGAGAGCAAGCCATACCATTCTATGCGGCTTATTGGCCGACGTCTTACTCCAACCAGCGAGAAACACCTAACCATGCAGCTGCCAGCCCAATGGGCAAAATGAGGCTTGCCATATCTCCCTCCTTCTCTCTCTACATGATTAAATACCCCGCGTTAGGTCGTGATGTCAAGTGCAAGAGTCTGAGGTCTACCGCTCTTCTCTACCCAACCCTCCCTTCTCCGTCAAGCCCCTCACCATGGCCGAGCTCCCCAGCGGCGTGGCGCCCTCCCTCAATGTGCCGGGCATCGTGAACCTCGGGTTCCAGCTTGCCAACAAGCTGAACATATACGGCCTGGGGACCAAATCCCCAGACACAGACGTTCGATACCTTGTCGATGATATCTTCGGCACGGCCTCAACCCTCGCTCAGCTCTGGGAACATCTCAGCACTGACAAACATGATACGTTTTCCGTCTACAAAGACGCCGGCCGCAAAGACGTTGAGGATCTCGCGGTCCGCTGCGGTAGGACTTATGTCACCATCATCCGCAGCGTCTACAGGGCCAGCTTGGCAGCCAAAGTCGTCGAGGACGTCAACTTTGAGACGATCCGCGTCGAGGACTTGAAGGCCGCCAGGCTCTGCGCCATCAACGCCAATATGAACTGGAGCTTGGTCGAGGACGCCTTCGAGACTGCCGCGAAGCAGTTGCAGTGGCTCTTCGCGAGCCTCCTGCTGCACATGCAGGTCTTTGATGTGGCCCGTCTCCAAATCAAGTCAGCATTCCCTCTGAGCATCTTCAAATGACCCTGCTAACATAGACTCAGAGCTCCCAGAGCCCCAGGTAGCTTCGATGAGGAGCTCGCTTCAAGGGCATTGGCCAGCCGCCTGCTCCAGCAAAGGAACAAGAACGTCAAGACTCTCGTAGAGGACTACGAGAAGAAGGCGGATGAGCAGGCCAAGCGCGAAGCTCGAGCAGCCTACAAAGCTGCCAAGGCAGCGGAGGCTGCTGCAGAGGCTGAGGCCGCAAGCGTCTGCTCTGGTGATGACGTGGCATCGTGGAAGTCTGGAGAGACTGCCCAGGTCTCCAGGGCGCCTTCAATCTGCGGCGACAAGGTCGATGGAGAGAAGAAGACTGTTCCCGTTGTGGAATCCTGCGCGCCGCCTCCTCCTCCTCCCGCTTTCATTGAGCCTCCTCCACCTCCTCCAGTCATGGACTATCCACCACCGCCACCTCCCGAGCCCATCGACATCAAGCTTATGACGCCCAAGCGCCGGTTCCCGGCCAAGGTCTTCAACAGCATGGCCGAGTGGATGCGGGGCCTCTTTGGCCGCGGCCTGCCGCCTCTGGACCACTTGGAGCTGGAAGCAAGCATCATCCACAGTGGGTATCAGCTCCATAGCAAGAAGAAGCCCCCAGTCCTGGCCTTCGAGCCGAAGACTCTGCTCCGCCAGCTCAAGCGTGTTCTCCGGAAGGTCGGAGATACTCCCGGAGACCAGCTGATCGGCCTCGACGCCCAGTTCCGTCTTGCTGTTCAGAATGCCCCGCAGCGCGCGCAGAACAAGGACGGCCGCGTCAGGAACTTGATTGCCGTCGACACCCGCGGCATGCCCGAGTTCATCGTCGCGTACATGTCGATGGAGCCTGCTCTGGAGCCTATTCACTTGACTGACTCCATTGGCCGCACCATCGTTATGCCGTATGAGCAGTGCCGAACTCTGAAGGTAAACTTCATCACCCTTCATTTGAAAGGAAGTATACTAACATCTCCAAGGGAGCCCGTAACATCATCCACAATCGCTTCCGCGACATCACCAGAATGTGGCCGATGATCAGCCAGGGCGCCTTCGAGATCGTCAACGAAGACGACGTCGTTGTCACCCCGGCAGCCTGGGAGAACACCGTGAAGCCAGGCGCCGTCCTCACGATGCGCCTCTCACCTTTCGCAGACAGCTCCGTCGGTCCGGAGTCCAAAACCTGGGCAGAGCCGTACATGGGCCCGCCCCCGCCTCCGCCGGGCATGTATCCCCCGCCCCCGGGCTTTAGGCCATGTGGTGTTCCTCCAGGCTTCCCGCGGCCAGGCGGCGGCGGCGGCATGGCGCCGCCACCGGGCTGGCCAGGCCGCCCAGGCCCCAGAGTCATCAACGTCGGCCCCGCCCCCATCCGTCGGCGTCATTGCCCGCGTCCCCCGTCTTCGGTGCTGAGCTGGATGGCCGGCTCCACAAACACCACCGATCGGGAGCTCGAGGAGTGGAAGCTCGGCTTCGAGCCGGACTTTGGCGGCCCGGGGCCGACAAGGGAGAAGGACATGGACGAACTGACGTGGAACAATCTCGGCCGGCTTGTGGCGCAGTGGACTTATGCCACGGACACCGAGTTCAACACTGACTCGGGGACTATGCCGTGGTACGATGACGCCGCGACGACTCGGTCTGTTAGCTCTAGTTCTTCGTCCTCCTCTTCGGATGAGATTGTGGATGATTGAGGATGTGTATTGAGATGAGCAGTCTCGAAGCTTTGTACTAATTTGTTTCTCGTTTGCTTCGCGAAGAAGGATGGTACACTCCTTTGAACTGTTGCTATTATCAGTTAATGTTATAACGATATTGATGAATATCATTATCTCTGTACATACTTTTTTCTCGTTGACGTGATAAATCTCCAACTCAATCCTGAAAACACTGCGTGATCCTGTCGCTTCTGTAATTGACTCATTTATAAAGAAATCGTGGCGGAGAAATGAACAAGCACTTATTAAGTCAAGCCTCGCCAGTGATCCTCGCTTGCACCTCTTTCACCATACCCATCTCCTCTAGCCTGCAAATAGTGCTCCTACCACGCCGAATAAGTCGGTTCTCCTCAAGATGACAGGACTGGACGGTACGCTCAAATGAGGGAGGACAAAGGCTGTGGCCAGTAGAAACGAGTTGAATGCGGCGAAGGGAACCGGAACTTTGAACGTTATGTGTGTTCTATGTGATTGGGAATAGCGGCCCGTGACAATTGCAATCTTTCGAGGGGAGCTGTCGCTAAAATTGACGCCATCTCAGGTATAGCTTTTCATGGAGGCTTGGGAGGGCACCTTCGGTAACGACCGTACTCGCAGGCTACTGAGAACGGACAGCTATGCCTCTTGTATTTCGGGCAACCCACGCATGACTCTGCATAGGATTGAAGTATACTCGGGTGTTACAGGGTTAAAGAACCTTGACGTGGACAGCGGATGTCGCGGCTCTGGTTCGTCTTGGCTGCAGGACACATCAGCGTTCGAAACGCCCATCATTGGAGTATACCATCGGTCGGGTGCCTGACTTTTGGGACCTCCTTTTTGCCTCCGCTGATCCACTTTAACCTCCTTTACTAGGTGTCATTGGTCGACCGCGGAGGTTGTAATTGGGTTGCTGGAGGCTGTTTTTCTGACATCAAAGCCATCGTGAAAAGGGACGGGGGGGACTTAGGGCGACGACTACGGGTTCCTTCTTCCTTAAAACAGTCATGGCAGTCGATAGTTAGAGCTACATTGAGTACAAGTCCACATTTTAAATCGGTCTCAGTTCTCGACATCTGCCACCTACCTTTTCCTCATTTCTTGTACGTCTGTTGCCCGTCGGTAGACTTTACCTTAGGTGGCCCGGCTTGCAGATACCTTTCGTCAATATCCTCGTTTCTTCGGCACACCAACCAACTTTTGTTAAGAGTATCCGTAACTTTATACATGACATATATCAGGGATCCTTTGCGATGCGACATCCCCTAGCCGAGCTCATGTTCCACATCCAGACAAGTGTTGCCTTCGCTATGTTGCTATTCGCAATTCAAGAGGGAAGGCATCCATGGGTATCGGCGATCACGATCAGGTATTTCACTTTCACACTTTCACAGGACTGCAGACAACTTAGAGCATAGCGGCTGCTGATCCTGGTACGTATTAGTTGCCTGATAATCTGGATACTCCTCAGCTTTTCCCTACTCGTCCGATTCAACAACTATCTGTTGATGTTAGTTGCCACCGTTCTTGACTTTGGGCTTTTAAGAAGCTAATGCTACAAAGGAGGACTCCATGGAGCGTCATCGCAGTTCTAGGCCCCATTTTTACCTGGGCCTGTATCTCCAGCGCCAAAAACATCGAGCTCTACTACGCCGGCCTGCTCGCTCCAGTCTGGATTGCTATTGGCCTGAACGCTCTGGTCATCTATGATCGCAAGGGCAAACACAACTTTCAACCCAAGTCGTCGGAGGCTAGAGACGACCTTGAAACCGGGAAGCGGTCTGCAACGGAATTAAACATCACGTCTTCGAGATCAGGCCGACTATGGACGCAAGATGCCCAAACACATCGACGGGACATCTAAGCACCCTAGCGCCCATTCCTCAGCTGCCGTGACCCAAGATGAAGACAAAAGACGAGGCTTATGTTCTTCCAAGCCAGCCCACCAGCCCCATCCTTGACTGTCAACTCAGCGCCCCAGACCCTACTATTCTTCACGTCACGAAGACCACCAGTTCTTTCTTTGTTAATGGATTTACTTTTATCTCAACTTGGTGGTCTTGAGTTGTTTTTTTTTCCCTTTTTTTTCTCTCTCGTTGTTATCTGATCTACTAGAAGGGAAGCTTGACTTCGAACATCTTGAGGATGGGCGTAAGCTACCTAGTACGCATCGACTGGAGTTCAAGCCCATAGGGATGTAAATGTGGCATGGGATACGAGCATTTCATACCGTTACAAACTTCACACTTCGGACCTTCCTAACTAAAAAGCATGGAATCTGGCTTACTACCCAGATGAACTAGAATTGTTAGCCAAGGTATAAATTCCGGCTGCATCCCTGGGCGTGCAATGTCAACAAGCGGTGGCTGGGGCCAGTGTGGGCCTACTCTAGCGGCATTCTCTCCTTACAGTGAATGCCCATCTGAGGCCTACGTTCCTTGGGGTACGGGACAAAATTGTACACGTCATTATGGATTTATCCTGTTCCCTATATGCGTTTTATATCAAAACATCACTTATTACCCGAGAGTAGATTTGACTACGTTTATGTAGCATTGAACTGCTAACAATAGACTTTTAGCGTTGACCGGCGCAGACGTCAGATCGAGCCCGGATCGGTGTGCCACTCGATAGGCACGAACGGAAGGCATGGGGCGTCGCCGGAGCTTCAACTTAGTTGAGTTGCGGAACAAAAGCAGATACTAATATCTAAAAGACACTCACCTTGAGGCAAAGGCGGCTGTCTTCCGGCGGGGACAAGGGGGTGCTGTCCTCAATGTTATCTTCCCTGAATCCATCCACGCCATCATCTGTGGCACCCAACCAAAGACCGTTGCTATTGTTAGGGCGCATTAGTTCCAGTAATGGTCGACGAGTATCGCCAAAACCATTGGCCTACGCAGGAAGCTGCCTGACAGGGGGCCAACGCCTTACGATGTACTAGCATTGGCGAATCAGGTGAACCACTCAACAGACTGCCGCTGAAGGCAGTCTTTCAGAACACTTAAATACAATCGGGCCAAGTTCCGAGGAAATCCACATGTTTTTGATCGTGGAGTGTGGAGGTTGGGTTTGGGGGGCTATGATCGTTGTAAAAAGCTTCAACATTTGGAAACGAAACCAAGAATTTGAGCTCGCTGGTTCTTTTTCATTGATTTTACCGACACTTTTGTTAGACGCGGATCTACTGCAGGCTTACTGACAGTCTCGGAAAATCGACGCTGTATACTCTTCGAACGCAATCATCTCTTAGTCCTCACGACACCAAAAGCCCTGTCGACCGTTATCATCACCGCATTCACGAGTCTCACGATGCGACCTCAGATACGCGAGTTCTTATTCCACTTTCAAACAAGCGATGCTTTCGCCATGTTATTCTTCGCGACACAAGAGGAGAAATATGATTGGATTTCAATAGTCACTTTGAGTATGCCGCCACGCCAAGCCTGGCTTCTGCGTTGACCTGACCGACACTTACTTCCTCCGACAGCGGCTTGATGGTATGGATTTTCACTTCCTTCATTCTTATTCTAGAGTATAAAGAGTACCTAGTTCAGTGAGTTTGCCATATCCGGGCATCACCGTCTTCAACGGTTCTGACCGCCCATAGGAGAGCGCCCTGGACCATCATAGCCGTCCTAGGGCCAGTCTCCGTATGGTCCACTATCGTCACTATCAGGGAAATCCACTTTTACTACGCAGGTCTATTCGCACCCGCCTGGATCGGAGCTGGTCTCTTCATTTTGGCCGCAGACGATGGCACGAAGTGCCCTAGCCGCCTCAATGGAGCTGAGAAAGGCCAGATTGATATTGAGAGAGACATTCGCCGCCGGGATTTACGTGAAAATTAGACTGGCGGTGCCCCGACAAACTCGAAACATCAAGTTTCAAAGACAAATCACCACTCATCGACAGAGTCGTCCCGAACTCCTCCCATATCACAGCCCGTTGCCGGAATGGGTCGAACAACAACAAAGTAGTCCGCCAAAGTCGACCTGACTGAGCCAATTCTTATCTTGAAAGTCCAAGTTTCGACGATACAATCGAAAGAGTGCCTTTCGCTGAGTACCCATCATCACCAAATTCTGGGTTGCATCGGACCTTGTTGCACGAGCATCACGACTTCTTTCTGGCATCTCAGCATCCCTTGCGACATTTCTCCAGGGTAACAACATCACTGGACAGCATAAGTTAAGGTATCCAGACACACAAAGTAGAAGCAATCCTGGTGGCACGGCTACCACTCCTTTCTGGAACTCTTACGGCATCGAATCTCGGTAGCGCCAGAGCATATGCTCAGGTTTATATGTTTAGCATATCCCATGATGGCCGGCCCTCTCACGCACCTTTCATCCCGTGGACCGCTGAACAAGTTACTAAAGCCGTTGAAAGATAACGGCAACTGGGAGTTTTTCCAGCTTACTTCAAACCTTGACTGCATCCTGTTCTTCGGACGGAAAAAAAATCAACTTCCTCCGTCGGTAGGCTGGTTCATGGCTATGTATGCCAGAGATGGCTGTCAGCTATAGTACGAACCATAGAGCAGATTCAACCGCACAAATCTCGATTCTGATCCTTTAGACCGCAGTATAGAAGTTTTCTGGTACACTTGACTTTCTAACTCGCAAGTTTAACATCGTTTCCCGTCAAATCACTATACATTCGCGTCTCTCATCTGTCTTCAGATACCTATGCCTCATGACACAGCAGTCACCTCAAATTAATGCAAATGAGACACATTCTGTGACCAAGCTCGATTTAGGTTGTCCCTAATTCATCACAACAGCTCGCGCATATTGGTGCTTCATTGTCGGGTCCCTTCCCTCTTATGTAGCCACCGAGCGCCGGCAGCTAGCCCTACGTTTCTAAGCTGTTCTCTAACAACTAGTTTTCATTAGCAAAAGTCTATGAGGACGATTCTTTGCCCGTGCTGGCCAACATCCACTCAAAAGAATCTTATATTTCCAACAAATGTATTGAGAAGGAGATCTAAATGG